AGCCATTAAAACCATGTTATTTATGTAAATAAATACTAGATTATTGGTTAATCATGTATAAAAATAGTTTTGGCAAATATATGAAATAAAACAAGTCAAAACATGTAGCTAAGACAATATTTTTAAGAAGAACACGAAGAACAAATAAAGAATATTCAGCGTAAACCTAACAATGTAGCTCTTAAACCAAACTAGATATAGATAAACTAAAGAAACATACATATTAGAAATTATACACTAATCAATAATCTAGTATCTATTCATTTTAATTATCAATAAATAATCATGATTTGGCCAAAATTAGTTTCACTAAGATTAAAAATCATTTAAACATCACTTTTAAAACTTTATTAGAGCAATTATGATATTATTGTCGTCTGAAACCACCTGAATTTAGTAGAAGGGATGCATATATTTTACTTGAATTCAACCTTACTCAATTTAAAGGTTGTAACTCCACATTTATACATTTGAAGCTGCTAATTCGATAAACCAAAACTATCAAAAACAAAGGTCAATCAACCCAAAAACAAGACACTCACCTTCTATTCTTTAAGTCTGAACAACGTATCATTTAAGGTTTTGAATTTGGGATTAGTAAATTTTAATTGAGCCCTTATTCTTTCAATTTCTTTTAATTTTACTCACAATCATCTTCAAAATTTTAATTTCATACAATTTCACCCCTGAAAAACTCAATTATCAGCTTTTAAGGTGGTTTTTTTTTATTTTCATCCTTAATTTTGAATTTTTTATATTTAAACCTTTAATTGACCATCAAACTTTCAATTTGTTCAATTTGCCTAATTTCAATCGCTATATTCATGCATTTTTTCCAGTTTAGTTCTTGATTTTTGATTTCTTCAATAAAATCCTTAATTTCTCATCAAATTTCAATATTTATGCAATAAAACCCTTAATTTGATCAAATTAACTTTTTAAAATTGCAATTTAACCTATAAACTTCAATTTCTCCCAATTAAAGCCTAAATCAACTTAAAAAATAATTTTTCTTATAGTTAAGCCATCAATAAATTCAAATAAATCTTGAAAAATTATAATTAAGTACTTGAATATCTAATTTTGAATTTTTCTCTGTTAATTAAATTTCTTTTACTAAAAAGGCCTTCAATAGTCAAAACTATATTGTTGAATTTTTCAATCTTGTATATTTAAGCTTCTTTTATTAGTGTTCAATAATTTTCTAATTGTTCTGGTATACTCTTCTCACTAATACTTACTTTTTTTCTTCTTTTATTTTTTTATTTTTTTATTTTTTCTTTTTCTTTTTATTTTTATTTTTTGTTTATATGAAATTTTTAAAATGAGTAACAACAAACAAGATAATAATGAAGTTTTAGAAATAAAATAACATAATTAGTAGAACAGCTAGAATTCTATCAAAAATTCTACATTTTATATTCTCTACAAAAGTTAGCCCCTTATCACCAATTAAGAATGAAAAAACCTTTAGACTAATAGAGAATTTGATATTGTAGTGTAAGGTATATTTCAAAAATATTTTTGGTTTGAATATGTATTTTAGATTTATTTTTTTTACATTAGTACATCAAAATTATCAACAAACATTAATAGTTTAATGTTTTTTCAAGCTAAACACACTTTTAAAATTCACTTAAATGTGGTTTCAAATACAAAAACAAAAGATAAGATGTTGTTTTATAATTTTTTATTATTTCCAATGTTGTTTTTTATTTTACTTATCTTTCCAGGTTAATTTCTATTTTTTTTTTCCTACATTGTCTTTATCATTTTTTGTTGCTATGTAAAAGGTTTTTGTTGCTATGTAAAAAGTTTGTATGATGTTTTTTTAAGTTACTTTAAGAATTGTTAAATTTTTAGAATATATCAAGATTTCCTATATATTTTTAAAAGTCACAATCTCTAGTTTCTTTCTTAATTCAAATAATCTCTTATGACAAAACCAGAAAGTATTAACTAAAAGGAAACAAACAAGAAAAAAAAGCTGGAGAATGTATTTGGTAAGTGTTACTGAGGTCTAAATACACAGATTTTAATCTAATAAATCATTATAACATGAGAATGAAGAATTTAAATGTATTTCTAACATTCTCCATATTTTAGATAACATCTAAAACACTACTCTATTAAAAGGGTATTTAGAATTAACTCTATTAAAAGGGTATTTAGAATTATGGTATATTTAGAATTATGGTACAGAGTACTTTTTAAAATTTTTTTTTAAATAAATCAAAATAAATCTTTTATAGTTTTTTATTTATTTTTAATATTAGCACATCAAAATCACTATAAAACACCAAAAAAATATCAATTTAATATATTTTCAAACAAAAAACACCTTTAAAAAACATCTAAAACAGAAGTTAAAACACACATTGATGAAAAAAAATTGAAAATGATGAATTATTTAATTCTAATTTGAATAATTTTTATTATTATTATATTAAATGAATGAATTATATTTCAATGTACTAAAGATCAACAAGAATGAGAAATATTTTAAAAGAACAATAAAAAAAGAAACATAAGATAAAATTGAGAAAGGGACGAGATGTTCTCCTTTATTATATATAAACAAATCCGTTGTTCAGAATAAAAAATAAAAACTCCTGGGAGGCAGAAAGAAATGGGGCTCGAAATGGCCATATGACAGAAGTTAGGCCCGTATGTTTAGGCCCACAACTTGGTGAAGTTAGTTACTTGGGTTTTAAGCCGTAAGGTTTTGTAGGCCTAATATATAAAGGTTGACTAAAATGATCGTGGGTCAGGCTAACTAGGCCTGAGCAAGAAACTATTTCCTTTTGCTTTAACTTAACTTGGTGTAAAAAACTTTTAGTACCATGATTTGGAAAATCCTGCAAAGGCCCATGGCTGACAACCTTAAAATTATCAAAGTCAAAACTCCAAAAGTAAACTGGTTTAAACTTGAAAACACCATGGTTACGAGCCTGGTTATAAATCTTGTACTAAAGGCTTTTTAGGCTGCGTTTGTTGTACATTCATTTTTAAGTTTGTAGTGCAATATATTTAATAACAAATGAAACTGTATTTTATATTGTGGGTTAAAAAATTAAGTTTAAAGCATATTTTTGTTTATTTTTATATTTTAAAAACGTTTTCACAAAAATTTAAGAATTTTTTATTTTTTTTTCCTTTGTTTGGTTGCCATTAACTTATTTGTGGAGGGGATGTTAATATACTTGACCATCCCGCATTCAAGATGACCCATGTAAAGGAAGATGGAAAAAATAATAACTCTCGAGGGTCAATAATTTAATAGAAAAAAAATAAATTAAATAAAAAATTAATTTTAAAAAATCAAGTTAACTCATGTTAACTCGATTAATTTGAGATCTGAGATGGGGATAATCTTACAAAAAAAATTGAATAAATCACAAAGTTTAAGGACTAGTAAATCAAAGTCAAATAAAAAAAAATCTAAAAAGGATTATAAAAAATATTGAATTCAAACTAAGTAAAGTATTGAAATTAGTTGACTGGGTTATAAGAATAAGACTATCATATAAGAGACTGACACGAGAAAAATTATAAAATAAAATTTTTAATTATAAAAAAATAAATAATAAAAACTGAATGTTGCACCAAAAATAATTGAAAGAAATTAATTAGAAATTAAATTAAAAAAGAAGAAGAAAAGGATAGAAAAGGAGCAACGAAAAAAATGAAGAACAAAATTTGAAAAAAAAATGAAATTCTAAAGGATAAAATAAAAAAAATAAAAAATAAGAATTAAATTGAATATAAGAATTAAATTAAATGTGAAAAAGAATGAAATTGAAATAAATAAACTTTAAAAAATATTAAAATTAAAATTAAAATAAATAAAAATTAAATAATAAAAATCAAATTCATAATAATTATAAAGTTAATGACACAACTAAATTTTTAAGAGCTTCGTACAAACACTAAGGACACGAGAGAGAAATAAATGGTAAGAGAAAAATATTCAACGCTGCATCAACGTATCCTTTTGATTTATTAATATTTTAATAAGGCAAATTATAAAATAAGGGTTGCATTATTAGAGAACACCAGTGGTGCAAGGACAAAAATGCCCTCCAAGGTCATCTGAAAATTTTAAAAGTCAAAGGGTAAATATATAATTTTACGGTACAGAGGCAGATAGATGGTTGCTGCTAACAGCGTTGTCAGGTTCGTGGACACTGTCGTTGTAAATTTGTAATAATAGTTGTTGTCACGACAAAAAGATGGTTGCTAGTTGTCATTGAATCATTGACTGTGTTTATCACTTGATCATCGTTGTCATAACAAATCAACACCGTTGTGAGCTTGAAACACTCCCAGGTTGCTATATATTGATCCAGCATAATTTTGATGAACTATATGGTATTATCTTTACGCAGTCCAAAAACTCCAAGTTAATTTCAAGTTAAAAATAACACTCTATTAGTGGTGTCATATAGCCGCATAAAAATTATGAAGAAATATTTTTTAAAATTTGTTTTTTTGTGGCCCTGTTTTGAATAACGCTAGCTTTAATGAGCTTTATTGTATATATTAATATGTGTGCAAAGTCGAGCATTACTCTAGCTTGAAAGAATAATTCAGCAAATTAAACAAACCCTCTCCGGTTATTGTTGCATTTCTTGCTCTTTCAACATCTGAATTTCGGCTATGGAGGTTCGACTCTTATCTAGAAAACTGATAGCCCCTTCATCACCAACTCCACCGCACCTTCAAAACTTGAAAGTATCATGTTTAGACCAGCTTGCTCCTTCCATTTACTTACCATGCATTTTCTACTACCCAGCCGATGGTGAAAACAACGAAAAACGAAGCAAAGAAATGGACAAATCATTAGCTGAAACCTTAAGCCTCTTTTACCCACTCGGGGGAAGATACATCAAGGAAGAATTCTCAGTTGAGTGTAATGACATGGGAGCAGAGTTTTTTTGGAAGCCAAAGTTGGTGGTTTCTTATCTCAGCTTCTAGAAAGAGAAGAGCGTGAGTCTGAAATGGCGAGTCATCTGGTTGCATCACTATTCCAAGAGGAGAACAGCCCTCTTGTGATGGTTCAATTCAACATGTTTGAATGTGGTGGAGTGGCTATTGGTATATCCATCGCGCACAGGATAGCTGATGCATTCACTATAGGTACATTCATCAATGCTTGGGCCACTGCTTGTCGAATTGGGAGTGAAAAGGTTCATTGTCGTCCAAGCTTCCAATTGGGTTCTCTCTTTCCACCCAAAGAAATGCCTTCGTCCAGTGGCACGGCTCCAGGAACGGACATCAAGATTATCAGGAGAAGGTTCGTGTTTGATGGCCATACTTTATCAAACCTGAAAGCAATTGCTAGAGGTGGTGATTCGGAACAGTTGGTGAAACACCAATATCCATCACGAGTAGAGGTCGTGACAGCACTTATATGGATGGCTCTCATAAGGGTAGCTCAAGCTAGACATGGCCACTTGAGGCCTTCCCTCCTCGGACTTACATTTAACATGCGAGGGAAGACAGCTATGACTACTCCGGACTATTCCTGTGGAAACTTTGTTAATTGGGCGAATGCGCAGTTTATGCCAGATGATGAGATCAAGATGGAGCTTCATCACTTCGTGAATCGGGTGCACGACGCCATAAGCACCACCACCCATGATTGTGCAAAAACTTCAAATAGTGATGACATTTACTCTATGGTGTCCAGTAAGGCGAGGGAGGTGGGTGAAGCACTTGGAGAAGGCAATGTAGATACCTATATGTTCAGTTGCTGGTGTCGGTTCCCATGGTATGAAGCGGATTTTGGATGGGGAAAACCCTCTTGGGTGAGTAGCGTGGACGTACCAACTGGCATTGTTATGCTTATGGACACTAAAGATGGTGATGGAATTGAAGTATTTCTTGCCTTGGATGAAAGCAGCATGCTTACTCTTCAGCAAAATCTGGACAAAACTATTTCGTTCACTGGCTAGGAAGGCGCTATAAGCAGCATCATCCAACATGGTCTTGAAGAAGTTCAGGATGGTAATAAAGTGGCTCAATTCTATAATCTGAGTTGCTACAACAAATAAAAATATGTTCTTGTCTGTTCCATTTTGGTAATGTGTACCTGGTGCTTCATATTTTGGATTAATATATATCTCATGAATTTTGTTTCAACCGTGTCGAGAAAATACTTTAAAAAGAAAGACAAATATTGTGTGATTACTCTTACCTTTGAGGCCATTTTAATGATTGGGTTAAAATTCAAATTCAAAAAAAAAAAAAAAAATAAAAAGCCTTCAGCCCATCATTATAGCACAAGACAATATTGGGTGTTGATACAAAGAAATGATATTTTTGATATTTTCAAAGAAAAAAATCATTTAATCAGCCCATCATTCGGGCCCAAGATAGTTTAATTTGTATGAAAACAGTGAAATGATATTTTTCCATTTTCAAGCAATCATTTAACTAGTTATCAGGGGCGGGGCAAACTAATCTATTCCATGAAGCACATTTGTTTTTATTATATTCTTAGAAGACAAATTGATATTTTTATATTTTAAATAATTAAAATGCTCTTCAAAGCAAAAAAATATTAAGATCATCGTCTAGAAGTTTTCCGGTCTTCTACCGTTTTGGTTACACGGTGTAATAATCATGCTGTTTTTTAAAACAAAACAAAAAATCAAAACTAATATCCAAAGATATATTTGTATTTTCAACATGGTTTTTTAGTTTTAATGGAAAAGAAATTCAATCTTTTAACAAATATAAATATAATTAAAAAAATAAAAATATTAACAAGCAGAAGGTATCTACTCTCTCTAAACAACGTATACAATGTCTCCCTGCAAACGCTATCTTCCATGATAGCATTGGAAGTGTAGTGCGTTCTTTTCCTAGTGACCATGCATGTGTTTTTCATTTAGGACATTCTTATGATTCCATTTTAAATATAAAACTTGTTTATTTTTGCAACAGAAACCGTGTTCTATAAAATTAAATTTTTAATTTTTTTTGTTGAAATTAATTTTTGTAACGTTTTTAAATTTTTTAATATATTGATATTAAAAATAAATTTAAAAAAATAAAAAATATATATAATTCTCATGTATTTTGAATTTTAAAAAATAATCATTACCACAATTTCATACACTGCTACGGTAGGTGAAGGCCAAAATTAGATTTTTTTTTTAAAAAAAATTCAAATGAATTCACGCTCCTTCAAGTAACTTGTTTTTCATCCGAAGGCATTTTGAGCTATCCAATTGGGGCACTGCTTGCTTCCTCCTTCCCTGAATCCCTGCTCCATTTCTCTTGAGATTCAAACCTGGAACCTGAAAAAGAAAATGCTCGTGTTCTAAACAGTGGGATTGTCCCTTTGGAGACACCTTCAAATAAATTTATTATAGATTTATCATTACCATTGTGGTAAAAATATTTATTTATTCACGAATACAAAAGAAATGCAGAGAGAAGGGGGTTTGACTCCCTGGACTTGAACTTCATATATTGCTGTCTTGTTTTTCAGGATGTTAGAATTATCTTGTTTGTATTGTTGCAAGAAATTAAACAAATTAAAAACGTTAATGTTGGGAATAACTGATCTGTATCGCAAGTTATAAGTTGCAGTCCAAGATAGAATCAGGAATCTATGTATGCTGTGAGCTTGGTTCAGGCAGTTTTTCCTAGTTTTCATAGTCTTCAACTGATCATTATGCAAAATAATAAAAGGTGGTGCCTATTATGATCAAGAACGTATGATCTGGATAGCAAAATGTGCGACATTCGAAGAATCTGATAAACTATGTATCAAACACTGTCTGCACTAGAACAAAATGAATAAGTCTTGAATAACAAGCAGAGAGAAAGCGGTGAACAGTACCTTCAGTTACTCTTTCAAACATCATAAAGGCCCTCAGAAGATCCACTTTAAGTATAAGGAGGTGTGGCACCAACTCAACACATGTTCGGCAGAAGATTGTTCGCAAACTTTAGCAATTAGCATGCAAACCACTTGTGTATTGCTTTTATGCTTTCTACCTAAGCAAAAAACAAATCCAGCAATTCTTCAACAAAATACAGTGATAAGAGTAGAAGGAAATGCGAAGAAGCCTTGGATTGAATGGCATACAAGAAACTCAATACCATATATAGAATCTGGAAGTACTTTATGTAGAGATCTCCGATGAATGATGAAGAGCCAGTAGTGCCATAAATAAAGCATCAGTAGCCATTCTTTCCTCCTGCAAACAAACTGCCAAATATCGCAGGGTAAGGAAGGCCAACCTACAGTATTAAGAATGTGCAAATGCAGAACGCTCTGGTGCTTGTGGAAACAAACGACTATTTTGATTCATTTTAATTTCAACAGTGAAATGGCATAAATATGCTGTGGGTCAATATGGCTTTAACAAGAATACATGTCCTTGCTCACGAGTTCAAGGGAAAATATAGAAGCTTTTATTGATAGAATTTAATCAGCACAGAATTAAAAAACCTATTTCGTTCCAACTCATGACAACGGGGAAAAAAGAGAGAATGTATAAGTGGAAGGAGATAAGCAATAAATTAACAAAGGGACACTACTTCTAATGCAGGCAGAATCTATAGCCTTCTCAATTGAAGTCCTTCAATCTTTTCTTCAGCATGTCCATTGATTTCTTCCGTGCACTTTGCTTAGTATTTCTGGTTGAGAGGCTACCAAAGATTCCATCATGGGAATCCTTGAATTTATCACAGATGCTGGCCACGTTTTTATAATCCAGAGCATCATAGTTTTTCTGTCTTATCACAGGATTCATGAAGTTCTCTGGCTGGCTGCTTGACAAAAGGTTAATCAACTGTCGTGCTTCTAACAAGCAGCCTCTAAAACTACCTTCCTTGTATATTTCACTCAGGCCGGTGCTATGAAACCTCTCATCAGCAAAATCCTCTATAATCTTCAAATCATTGTTGAGAGATAGGACTGCATTAGCATTGAACCTCCTTACGCTATCACTAAGAAATGCTCCGACAATGGAATTGGAAATGTGCTCGAGGGCACCACTCCCAACTTTGTGCAGAGCATCCAATGGAAGAATTTGTTGTGCAGTTGACAAAATAGTATCCAGGTAAATAACCACCTCATTTATATAGTCATTCCCATTTTGTGGCGTTTCCTCTGAAGTCCAATTGATATTTTCTGTAATATTCATGAATTCATCTAACTTGGTGTTCACCAAATTCAGCAGAGCAAGATAAGCTGCATCCCTTGAAGTTTTTAGGACCACCTTGGCTGTCAAACTAGCTTGAGGCCTCTCAACTGATCGGATCGGGATTCCGCATAGTTGGGCTGCATGTCGAAGAAAAAAATCACAAGCTCTCTCAAGAACAGATATGTTTGCAGCAATCTGCATGGCTTGAGACACACCAACTGCACCCCCATGGATCGTGCTAAGCATCACTTCATTTAGCACATCAATCAAGAGCTTGTCCAAGTATTTTCTCACAATGTCATAAAAATTAGTATGCACCCCATAAGATAAGTAATCAACAGAACCTTTGATGAAAGATCTAACAATGCGGCAAGTATCAGGTACCATGGAGGAGAATGGTGCATAATATGGGAAAGCCGGCATTATATCTGAGGTTTGAAGATGAAAGGAGAGGACATTATTCTCATAATCAGTATCCTTTCTCATTACCATCTGCTCATAGGTGTCACTTCCAAGAGTATTGACAATTTGCTCCTGACATTCTCCCAAAAGAAGCTCATGATACTTATCTCGGCTACGATCAACTACCTCGAGAATTTGGCCAACTTCATACCCATATTGTCTAAAAGTTTCCCCAAGAAGAGTGACATAATCCTTCACCAGCAGGAGATGAGTTGCAGAATCCATATGGGAAAACTGTTCCTCCAGAACAGATGTCATTTTAGCCACAGCCACTTCCCACATTGTCTCAACATGATTTGCTGACAAAAGATCCCCAGCAGTTCTTAAGACCCGATCCTCCACTATAAAGTAACCAGCAATTTGGGCCAAATATGTTTGATAAGATTCAACAAATGGTTGAGTAGTAGAGATTTGCAAGTCTGAATTGAGTTGCAATAACCGATTCTTATAGTAGTATTCACGAAACTGCTCTTGGCTTCCAAGGCAATCATGAATATGATACACCCGGAAAAGAGGAGTGAGATCAAACTTCACAACTGAATCTTCATCATTTTCCTCAACATCCAGAGTATATATAAAATCTCCTAACCCTGAAATGTTTTGTTCTTCAGCTTTTCTCTGATGTTCCAGCATTTCCTCATCTCTTTGACGAGCTGACAAAGTATGGCCTATTGCTGTCTGTCCAATATCCTTAGCAGAACTCCTCACTTGAACTAGCCATTCATTAAATTGACTGGTAACTTTCTTCTCAATATGAGATTTTATTACTGGAATCGTCTTCCCTATGGCCATTTTAAGTGCCTTCACAGGGATGTTCTGCAAGTAAGTCCTCTCGATCAGATCCACTGTTTTCAACGCTGGGTAAAATTGGCTTTCCAACATGTGGTTGTTAGACTTCACACAGAGTCCCAAAACTTGTATGCATATCTTCGATGTTTTGATAGCTTCAGTCACATTCTTCTTAATCCAATAAGATTCAAGAAGCTCCTCAAGTTTGACCAAAAGCGCACTCCCAACTTCTTGTAATCGAAAATTCTCACTCGCAAGCTCACTTTTTAACTCTTCAGCATCAACCAATACACCACGAAGTTCATCAACCGCAAGAATGAATTCCTCGTAATGGCTCTTGCACAGCTCCTCAATTTCAACTTCCTTCTTCCTCACAACAGACTTGAGCTGATGAAACAGCGATTCAGGCCGCCCCATTTCAAATGCATGCCTGACAATTGGACCCAAATCCTCTCCATTGCCAATCAAAGTTGCAAGCAACAAGTCCTCTCCTCCATCCCCATTCTCTACAGCAGTTCTCCTCTTAGGCTTCGCATCCATTGCTTTCACTAAACACTGAAACAATCAAAACAAAACCACACTCATATAGCATCCGAAACTAAATTAAAAAATCCACAAAACTCCTTATCGACCATCTTAAACAACGAAGTAAAACAACACCTACAATAAATCAAATCTAACAAAATTTACGCTAATTATTCAAGTCTTTTCTTCAATAAACATTTTTGTATAAAGATTCAAACAGAAATAAATATTCAAAGACAGCACGAAATGCAAACATCTAAAATAGAACGGAAAAATCAATCTATGATTAATCAAATTTAATAAATTATAACCAAATAAATCCATCAAACATAAAATTCATCAATTTACAAACAAAGTGAAGATAAAAACAAATCCCCATTTCAAAATTCACAACCAATCAACCAGATACAAAATGTGAACAAAACAAACAAACAAAAAATCCCCAGATAGAAAAAAATGAAAACCCAGATGCAAAATCAAACAAAGTTAAAAACTTTATACTTACAAAGAGCTATTGAGAGGCCTTCCTTTTGGGCCAAATTTGCTCTCTTTCTGCTATGTAAAACAAGAAATGAAATGTGTTTTCCTTACTCGTTGAGCTGAAACAGCTGTTTTCAATGAAATCTGTGATCAATGAAGGTCCTGCTATTGTTAGTTTCAACTCATGTGAAAATTCATGTTTTGTTTTCTTTCTGTTGCCGTTTGTACCTTGTTCAATAACGAAATTGATATTTCCACTCCTTGGTTTGTTTAGATTCGTCCACGACATGGGATATAATTATTTATTTTGGTGTACACGCTAACTGTCATGCACCTTTGTTTTCATTAGCTAGTTTGCTTGAACAGGTAACGTGGCAGTCAAATATTGATTAGAGTTTTATAAAGTATGTAATTAATTAATTATAGGGATATTAATATATTAATTTTTTTTCTCTTAATGTTTTTTTGGGGAAGGATAAAAACATCAAAAAGTTCAAAATTGAAGCCATAAAATTCAAAATTTGTTGATTTATTCATTTTTTCTATTTATTTAGAAAACAAATTTTTAAAAAATATATTAATTTGATTAAAATTTAATTGATTTAATTGAATTTTTAATGATTTGATTAATTCGGTAAAGTCATATTCAAACTCTCTAATTGACTTATATTTATCTAATAATTTAATGATTTAAATCCCTTCTTAAATTAGATATCGAGAGTCGAGACGATCTAAGAGCTATAATTTAATATAAAGTTTTTTTATTATTATTTCTATTTCAAGTCAGTGATGACCGTGACAGGTGGATTCTAATATTTTAGAAAAGGCAGTATAAATATTCTGACATTAAAACTAAAACTATGGAGTATAAATTAATTTATATCTCCACTGCACTGGCAGCAACACCCTCTCTTGTTGATTAGGTTATTGTCACCTCAATTCCAAAACGTCAAAGAAATTAAAATTATATTTTTAGAAGAAATATTTAAGACTGAAATTAATTACTTTATAAGTATAGATAGAAATTGAGTTCAGCTATATCTAACTTAGGCTGACCAAACACATATAAAAAAAAATATTGTATATTTTTTATATACATATAGGAACATTTATCATATCTATATTTGAATTAAAATCTAAGGATGCTTTAGGTAAATCTTGTGATATTCAAAATAAAAAATTAAAATATTGTTATTAAATCGAGCTAACATGATGAATAGATACACAAAAATTTAGAATCTTAAACAGAACCATTATTTATTAAAATTGAACAAAATATTAATTTAACTAAACACAATATTTTAGAATCAGTGCACCTGCATTTATATTTTTTAGTGTTTAAATAAATATAATTAAGTATAGTTTTAATCAATGAATAGATAAAGATTAATTATAGTTTTAAAATTTAGCTTAATAGATCAATTTAAAACCTTATTTATCTGAAACTGAAACCAAATTAGATTTATAAAAAAATATAGGTAATTTCAAACCTAGCTGATTATACTGGTTAATCCGATTAAAAGCTAGATTATAAAATGTTAATTATTTATTTTTATTTTACCAAAATATTATCATTTTAATTTATTAAAAAAATAAAATTAAACCATGATGCAGTCAAAACCAGTAATCCAAGCATTGAGCTAAATTAATCACTGAGCCAGGTTTAAAAACACTAAGATTAACAACTCAGGACGCTTTTCTAGATCGGTTCTTAAACCGAATTTCACAACTATATAACACCGTCAAGAAAGTATGTGGTGTATACAAGTTACAGAGTCCAGGTGTCTCATGGCATCCATGAACGGATAAGAGTACGCGCGGGATGGCCCCAACCCCATCCTTCAAAATCTGTCTCTCTCATTTCTCTTGACGAATACTTCAAAATGGCAACTGCTTCACTAACTCCAATTTTCTCATCTCCACTCAGAACATCAAGAACAACAACAACAAAGTTGGTGGACCAACATAGAAACCAGGTTGTTTTGAGGAGACAATTCTTGAAGGGACTGGTGTTGTCTCCATTAATCTTGATTAAAGCACCTCCAAGTTCTGAAGCTAGAGAGATTGAGGTTGGTTCCTACTTGCCACCTTCTCCAACGGACTCTTCTTTTGTTCTCTTCAAAGCCAGCCCAAAAGACACCCCTGCTCTTCGTGCAGGTACGTAGATTCTCATTTTCCAATTTATATTTGCATGCCTGTGTCCACTTACTCCACCATCTGCCTTTTAGTCCTAGTTCATGAATTATATTTGATGACAATTAGCTTAGTTCATGGAGTCGCTTGGCATATTTCTTTTACGCGTGCTGCCTGAATCAATTTTTTCTTACATTTGAGAGAGCTAGGTTTATTGGGGTTTCTTTTCTTCTTTTTTTCATTTTTAAAGATTCGAGGAATTGAGGAAGCCCCAAATATGACTAGGGTAAGCCCTAATATAAGCATAGACCTTTTTTGTTCCTTAGATGAAGCTTTGAAATATGTATATTTGGGTGATCTATAATTTCTATGAGGCTGCTGAGGTTTCTAATGCTGGTGTTCCATGCTTGTGGGTTTTTTTTTTGTTTCCATTACTTCTTCTTTGTTGGGAGGAGGGGATGCGTGGAGCAGTGTGGGTGCTCATGGAGATAGTTATCAAACCCGAACCAAGTGTCAGCAAAATCTTAGAATTGAGTTGGCCGAATCTCACCGGGTTAGGCTAAATCAACAAGATCAGCTGAGTTCATTATCGGTCATGTGAGTAACCAGTGGGGGGATGGTATTTGTAATTTGTCAGAGGTTTTCTGCGTTAGGCCTGTTTCTTATTAAAAAAAAATGTGAGGATGAGAAGAATTACAGTGTAATGAGGATGATCTCTTTTTTTTTTTTTTGTCACAATTTAATGATATTTGAAATTTAGTTTCTTGCAGGAAATGTTCAGCCTTACCAGTTCATCCTCCCACCGAGTTGGAAGCAAACACGCGTAGCAAACATATTATCTGGTAATTACTGCCAACCTAAGTGTGCAGAGCCCTGGGTTGAGGTAAAGTTTGAAGATGAAAAGCAAGGAAAAGTCCAGGTGGTGGCTTCACCTTTGATTCGCCTGACTAACAAGCCTAATGCAACAATTGAAGAGATTGGAAACCCGGAGAAGTTGATTGCCTCTCTTGGCCCTTTTGTTACAGGAAACTCTTATGATCCTGATGAGCTCTTGGAAACAAAGATTGAAAAGTCCGGTGATCAGACGGTATCATCCTGTTAACTCATCCTGCAAGTTGTTGCAATTCTTTCTACATTTTCCCCATTTGTGCTACTGGCTCCAGTCTTCCTTTCCCTTTGTTTGGCTAAAGAAACCTAAGCTATTATTAGTTAACAAAAATGGCAGTGTCATAGTAAAGCTTCTTTGATATTTTCTGATCTGCTGCTCCTTTTTTTCGCTGAACTGTTAATGCTTTTCTTTGTAACATCGTATCTTTCTTTGAAGGGGAAAAGGGAAAAACCAATATATATATTTTTATATTCTAGTCACCTCAAACTCGTCATTGTCTTTGCAGTATTACAAGTACATGCTTGAGACACCATTTGCTTTGACGGGGACGCACAATCTTGCAAAGGCAACTGCTAAAGGAAGCACTGTTGTGTTGTTCGTAGCAAGTGCAAATGATAAACAATGGCAAGCATATGAGAAAACTCTAAAAGCCATTCTTGATTCCTTCCAAATTTAGTAACTTTCCTGATGAAAATAAGAGATTATTTTTTGTTCATTTTGACATTGGCTCCTATGTTGCATATGTAAACAGTCCAGTAAACCATTCAAATGCCTCTGTTTATATGAGTTCTATATAATGTAATGTTTGATATTCAACAAATTGCTTGACCCACATTTGTAAACATGTTAATCCTCCAGTTTAAACAGGAAGTCTATTTCTTCGATCTGTGGAGGTTGACACAAGCCAGTGTACATCAGCTGATGCTTGTCCCTCTTGCCTTTCTTGTGTATCTGATACTCCCAGCAGTCTAACCTGAATCCATTTCCACAATGTTCCAAATGGTGCATACAGTAGCTCTCCCATTGAAATCAAGATGCAGAGCACGTAGAGGAATGGCTGGATGGTATCCGGGAAAAATATAGAGGCTAAGGATGCCGATGACAGCAAACCAAACAACACGATGCTGCACCTAACTGCAGTCACATAACGTTGGGACAAAAAAAGTCTAACACAGGTCATATATCCTACCCAATAGGTCAAGCGATATGCTAGCAGACAACTAAAGCTAGTCCACATGGTTACAGGATTTGTATCGAATGGAGTGCAATCCTTGCCTTGGTACATCAATTCAAGAAAAATGAGAAGGGCAGGCACAATAAAGGAAAAAATGTAATGGAATGAATTAGCAGTAGTAAACTGATTTTGCTGGAAGTAGTTTCTTGCGTTGAAAAATGCAATGTTGAATGAAACTTCTCTATGTGGAAGGAAGCTATGCAATTGCAATGAGCGGGATGGGGAGTGGCTTGTTCTTGCAATGTTGGCCATAGGATATACTGAGCTTGCTAAACGTGTTTCTTTGTTCTGCAGGTTTGGTAACTGGATTGGGTTCTCCCGAAGTGTCTAGTTGGGTGAATGTGTTGTGTCACAATTAGCTCTTTACTTCTGTTTTATAGGTCGAATCAGTTTCTAATTTATTAGACTTTTCTATTTGTTTTTATATTTTAAAAATACTTTTAAAATAAATTGAAATTTTTTATTTTTTATTTTTTATTTCAAATTAATATTATTTTTTATGTATCTTCAGATTATTTTAATATGTTTATGTCAAAAATAATTTTTAAAAAATAAAAAAAATTAATATCTTAATATATTTTTAAATAAAAAAATATTTTAAAAAATAATTACAGTTATTTTTTCCAAACAGGAGGCAGTCTTGATTCTTGAGACCACTGAAGACATGGGTGGTCACTAAACATAATGGCACTGGATTAGGTAAGTTTCATAGCAGCTTCCTACCTTTGTAGAAACTAAAACTCTACATTGATCAAAGAGGAAGTGGCATCTTTCAGACTCTAGGATTGCCTAGATAAATATGTCTATAACATTGAATCTTGGTGGATTGAGTGAATTTCTTACAATATATGCAGTTGTGTCCGCATTAAAAACCTCAGCATTGACTTCTAGTAGGGAGCTTTGCCTACAAGGAAAAAAGTAGTCGATGGACCATCCAAGTACCCAGGTTTCAATTATGGTGGTCCGGTGACTACCATGGATGAGTGTTTCTCATAATACTAAAAAAACATTGACAAACAGCCAGCTCTGGGCCCAACTAGACGGAGGGGAAAAAAGCTTGTAATCTTCCTTTTTTTTATTTTTCTTGTATGTTCTTTTGTCCCCGGAGCACCCAAGATAGGTAGTCTTGTGAGTTGTGACAACCTCAGTTTTCAACTACGAAGAAAAGTAGAAACCTAAGAGGCTTTAGCCAAAAAAAAAAAAAAAAAAAAAAAGCCCTTGCAAAGGGATCAGGGGAGGCTCAGGTCCATGGAAATCATTGGTGAATTCTAAGCAACAAACCTGATCTTGAACCATTGGATTTAATGATTGTGAGCACCTAGGTCTTGGATGGTCTCTAAAAGACCACAGATCCAACTATAAAATAGAAGTCAGGGGATGTTTTGGAACATTACAAATCCACCCAACTTAATACTTATTGTCTTGACACAATATCAGAGCATATTTCTAAACCTGGCTAAATCTATCTTCCCCACTCCTAGCCTAGCCTTTGCAAATGTTCTTCCCACAGAGACAAGTTTCATTGAACATTGCATTCATGACTGCGAAAAACTATGTCCAACATGATCAGCTGAACACCCCAAATTCAACCCATGCCATTTTCACCTTTATCATGCCTGTCCTCCTTTGCTTTCTTGAGTTTATGTATCAAGGAAAGGACTATTCTCCATTTGATACACACCCCATTACTATGTGGATTGGCCTTACTTGTGTGATTGCTTACTGTGTGGTCTATGGAGTTGAAATATCCTGTGCCAAATATTTCAAGTCTACAGTCTACGCCTCTGCAGTTCGTAGTGGCGCGATGTTGTTTGGTTCACTATCAGTAGCTTCTTTAGCCTCTATACTCTTTCCAGACTGTATGCAGCCAGTCCTATATCTGCTGTGCACCTTATTTTCAATATGGGAGTTATTATACAGCACCATTTGGAATACCATGGAGATGGAATCTCCACAACATAGGAGTGTCAGGCATACATCAGCTGATGCGCGTTGGCTCGTATGGAACTCCTCGGATCAAAGATATAGACTTCCACTTTGACAGCATTTGTACTAGGGCACACAAATACATTTGAAGAAGATTTTTGAAAATATTAGGACAAGGAAACATTAGAAGTGAATATCCAAATGAAACTCATCGATTGAGACTACTAATGTACATATGATCCGACAAAACCATGAGACTAAGAATACAGTCATTAATCCAGGTCTTTCATCCCTTTGTAATTCAATGATCTGTAGAATACCAAAATCCCTAAATTCATGACAACTGCTAGAGCAGAAAGCCTTCAGTAGTGTCCATGCATGCCAGGAGTCTGTGAAGGGAGGGTAAAAGAAACAATTAAGTAGCATTTGGTTTGCTTGATTTTTTTCTGCTGTCTATTTTATTCAAGAGTTTCAATACAAGTACTGTTCAAAAATAGAAACTATGTTAGAATTCCTCCTTGCATAGGATTCAAATGTCAGAAAATTCTACAGTAGTTTCCTCAAATCATCGGATTTGTGTGCCTATTTCCTCTAAGAAATCGGATTCAGTGTTGTTTCAAAAATAGAAAATATCTTAGAATTCCTCATTACATAGGATTCTAGTATTGAGCAAGTATTGTTCAGAAATAGAAACTATCTTAGAATCCTCATTACATAGGATTCCTATTTCAGAAAAATCCGCAAAAGTTTCCTCAAATTATCGGATTTGTGTACCAATTTCCTATAAGCTATCGGATTCAGAATGAAATTAGGATGACCCTCATACCTCTAAAAGAAAACAGGACCCCACATCCCCACCGAAACCTAAACATCCAATTTAGTTTTCTTTCTTTCCTCTTTGGAGTTTTTCTGATTAAGCCCTAGTTGATAAGATCACTGATCATCAATGGAGCAACAGTTTCTGTCGTTGTTTGAGTCAGCAAAGACATCTGCAGATGCTGCAGTCACTTCTTCTTCGATGATTCCTGAAGTTCATCGATGCCTAGCCGCTCTGGGCCAACTCAAGAGGTTCCCTGTAATATCATCTAGGGTTCTTCTTTTCACTCCTGTCGCGAAACAGGTTGAATGTCTCACAAGACACCCTGTAAAGATGATCAAGAATGCTGCTTCTTGTTTGCTCTATACTTGGAGAAGAAAACTGTACGCAAGACACCCTACCATTGATGGAAAAACTCAGCTGACGAAGTCTGGCGGTGTGTCAAGGAACAGGACTCTCATTATCAAGATGCGCGGAAGAATACTAGGAAGGGTTGAAGTTCGCATGCCTATCAAGGCTGTAAATAATGAAGAGAAGAAAATAAAAGAGACGGAAACGGGTCTCAGCTGTTTCAAGAAACCGCCACTAGTACCTGCCAAGCAAACCAGAAAACCTGAGGAGAAGGTGGAAAATACAATAAGCTGTATCAAGAAACCACTACTTGCACCTGCCAAGAAAATCATAAAGCCAGCAGGGAAAGTGGAAAGTATCAAGAGCGGT